AATTGAGAACAAGCACACACAAGCTTGAAATTGAAAAGGGGCAGGTACACACGCCATAAAACACCACTAAATGAAGAAAGTGCAAACAGTGCAACATGAATGTGATTGAGGATGAATTCCACGTTCTCATGATTTATCAAAATATGGAAACTTGCAACAGCAACGTTTTTCTGAATTAAATTTTCAACCACATGATTCAAACAATACCAATACATTCATTCGATTGCTCAGTGCAGATGAATGTGAAATTATTAAGAAGGGTTCACAGTTTATTTACAAAGCCTTCCAAGAAAGAATAGATAGTTGATAGTTTTGAATTTTATTATTAGTCTTTGAAAAAAAAAAAATATCATACACTTTACTTTGAAACTTAATATTATAATATTTTCGCTTTCTTTATTATTTCATTATTATTATTATACTTTGTTATACTTTTATTGCTACTGTACTGATAGAAATACCGTGTTTCTAAAGATGCAATAAATATTATTATTATTAATGATTTTTGAAGGAAAGGAATAACACTCAAGGTGGCCATCATAAACCTTTTTCACAAAAATTTGTAGTTATCGAACCGTATGTAACCCGAAGGCTCTGGACAACCTTCAGTTAGCACGTACAATGAAACAACGTTTTTCTAGTATGTGATGTCAAACCATTTGATATGCATTTTCTATCTTGTATTACGTTGTCACACTGTGGAGATATGCGTGTGATAATCTTACAGAATTAATAATCATTAATACCAAATGTCAATAAATTATCCAAATTTAGTTACTGTTTATACTCCTGTTATTATTGGTGTGTTTGTTTCTGTTATTAATATTATTATTATTATTATTATTATTATATTGTGTTCTATGTTATTGTTTGTGGTGTTTAATTGTTTTATCTCTCCCAGGTGACCTACCCTTTAATGCACCAGCTTCCCAGTGTGGTTTATCTACCTTCTGGGTTGCCTCATTTGTACCCGCATATGACCTATCCGATTCTACCTTCCCAGAGCCTGTGTTTAAGTACCAGCGCTTGGACAGTGCATGCAACAGCAGTACGTCTAGTAGTAGCTCTCAGGAAGATGACAGCCCCACTCGGAAACGAAAGTCTGCCACTTTCTTGCATGGTTTCCTCAGCATGTTTACCCACAAGAAACGTAAAGTCCGAGTTAGTTTTTGTTTGCCACTTCTATTCTCACGCTCACTAGCGCATTTGCCTATAATTTGCTTCAATCATAGTGCCGCACGTTTGAATTAACATTGTCACGTCTTTATCTTAATTATTAAAATTGCATTTGAGTTTGAGACTTATTATTGTCGGAATCTGCGTTAGATCTGACAGATGTTATAATGACTTGTCTATTAAAAAAAGGGAGTCTTCATGGAAGTATTGAATTGTCTTATAGGAAATTCTTGTTCTTCTGTTACCCACAATGCAATAGAATCTTTTTTCTTCATGCCCGCGTTATTGTCTTTCATATTCACTAAATGCATCCAAGGGTTGATGAACAAGGGCTCTGACCTTCCAGCTCGTACACATCTTGTTATCATATTACACTGTGGTGTTAATTTTGATTCAGACCTCTGTTAACATCAAACTATAATTTTTCCAAGAACAGTGTTTCATTTCAATCAAAATTGTGTATTCACATGGCACCCTTGGTTTTATCCACTCTTGATCAAAACTAATGAGTGTCGTAGTTGTGTGCGTATTGCTGTGCATATATTAAACCGAGTGTCTTTCAATTAAAATAACCACCATATGAATAAATGTGCTGCCCTCTGATGGTACAAAAACATAATTCTTTTGTTTAGATCATTGTTACAGTTTCTCTCAAATTCAAAATTATTCGACAGGCTGTGTGTTTGAAAATTCATCCAAACTTGTTTTCAGGGAGATGACATAGTGATTGTGATCTAGTACACAAAATATAATTAAGGTTTACTTGTTGATATGAATTGATTACTAATTTAACTCATAACTTGGCATTATGTCTGTATTCTCTAAATATTTTTTTTTTCTATACCAAACATGCAAATTTTAAACTTTTTAATTTCTATGTTTAAAATTTGTTGAAACCTAGTTGTTGCAATTGATATCAACAACTGAATTGTAAATGCACACATATGTTTTAGTGTCGTTATTGTATGTGTACCTTATGTTTAGATAAACACGATTCTTCTGTTTAATGATATTGTCCGCAAAAATAGCTTGTAAATTTCTAATAAATATATACATGTATCTGTAGGGGAGGGATCAGGTCAGAAAATAACCACAATTTTTTATTTCAATTTATTTATCATAATTGTATGATTCAAAACCAATGAAAAATTTATGATATAAAAAATGTAGAGACTGAAGAACAGAAATGTTTTCATGGCCCTGGGCTTAATAGTAAATTGCATGGCAAGTATCAACTCACTGGCAACTCATTCCACTATTTGGCTGCGAGGGTAATCGCTGAACAAATAATAATGTTCATGTTTGACTGATAATATTTGTAATTTTCTTGATAATCCAAAAAGTTGTTTTGTTCAGTATAAATATAAATAGTTTAAAAATAAAGCGATTCCAGGAATGTAAAAAGTGATTTCTTCAATCTTAGAGATTACAGTGAAATACATTATGAGGTGAATGTTTGTAAGGAATGATCTCCATCAATTCCCGAGCAATACAAGAATAACCTTGTCCTGGTTT